TTGCACATGCATTACTGCACTGTCAGTGAATGCAAACATGGGTATACGGGTGGATAGGTGGGTGGACAGTCTGAACTAGTAGGTATGTCTATGAAGCGGGGAGTGTACCCAAGACCATGTATACAGTTGGCAGGCAATGGCCCCATAAGTTTATATGTATGATCTGAATTCCCAGGTGTATAGTAGAGCTGACAAGGGACAAGCTTGTAGTCACTTCTTGGTCACAGCCAGCTACCCAGAGGGACTGAGTAGTTGAACTTGTGGGCTCAGGACTATGGTTACAGGGGACATCAAACTCAATTGGCATAACATACTACACAAAACATTGTTCCACCTCCTGCTTTGGCGAGTAGCAACTGGGATCTTAAAGGCTTGCAAGCTGCTATCTGGATGCAGCGATGGGTCTTTCCTCATCCAGAGTGGGGAAGAATGAAGAAAACCAAAAATTCATGGAAATAATTAGTCCTAGTGACTGGTATACCATCCAATCTGCAGCATATACAACCATGAGACCAGAAGAAAACTAGATGGTGCCCAGCTACCACTGTCAACCACTTGGAAGGGTATCTATGTAGAAGATCCTGGATAGAGAGGAAGAACAATGTGGTACAAAACTCAAAATCATCTGGGGAAAAAAAAAAAGGCGGGGACCAGGTTTGCTGGTTTGATGGAGCCTGGTGGAACCACTGAGGCTATGGCCCCTAGCTGCCCTTTAGGTTTAGAATTGAACCCAGACCTGTGGCTTCCAGCCAAACAAAAGACAGGCATATGAGTTGAACATGTACCTGGGGTAGATACACTTCTTGGAGAGAACCATTGTGGGACAAAGAGGGGCTGCTTATGCATAGGGAGACAGCTCAGGGGGCAGGAGTGCATGCATGGAGTGACGGACACAGAGAAGAGGTAACCGTTGGGAGGAAGTGGGAGGGGATCTGTTGCATTGTGGTAAACTGTGGTCAATGTCATGAGACAAAGTACACGTGAACTGCTGTATGGAAAGTGAATTTGCTCTGTAAATTTTCACCCAAATCACAATTAAAAAAAAAAAAAAAAAATATATATATATATATATAAAATCTCCCCTTTGGCAACTACAGATGCTTCCCAATACTCAGGGAAATTCTGAATTTGAAAAACTTTGTGTGCTGATTGTAAAATACAAGGATACAAGAATTGGGGTTCCAGAATTAGGAAAAAGAGAATAGGTTCCAAAAAAGCACTTTTCTGTCACCATTCCTCATCCCAAAGACAAAGGAGACAGTGGCAGCATTGGGAATGGCTCTGGAACCTGGGGACCCTAACCACTTCTCCCTCCTTCCAGATCAGCAGGGTGCCACTCCTAAACCACTCCAAGGCTGCCAAACGGTGAGTCTCTCCATTTCATACAATTACACCCTCTTCCCTCCACACACACACACACACACACACACACACACACCCCTATCCACCCCCAAACATCCTGTTAATTCCACCTGCCTTCTCCTCCTTGAAGGTCAGAGATTCAAACCCACCAGCTGCTCGCAGGAGGAAGATGAGGCAACGGACTTCAAGTAATGATTGTAAAATAGGCTTGGAAACTCAATGGGGGGTCACTATGACTCTACAGCAGTGGAGTGTTTTTGTTGTTGTGGTCGTGTTTTCTCCTCCTTTCTCCTCCTTGGCTCCTGCCTCAAAGAGAGAACTCCTTCCATACCTGCCAGCCAAATATTTCTCTCAGAGCACTTGGTCCTCATCTTTCTCCCAAGGACTCTCCTCTCACATCTTTAATAGTTCCCTTGCTGGTAGAGGAACTTGCCATAGCCCCCACTCCGAGGTTTTGTCAGTCTTATCTCCTGGCTAGCCACAGAAGGATTTGAGTGTGTGAATCCTGCATTCACACCTTTTCATTTCCCACCATTCCTTTGTCATTCCACAACGATGTTATGGGGACACACTGTGCTAAGTGTGTACAGAGACTAGGTAGGAATATGATTCAGATACTTCACCCCTCACAGACTGACAGTCTAACAGTTAGAGAAAGAGCAATCTCCTTAAATTGCACTGTAGTCACTGAATGAAGTGCTCACAGAAGAGGGAGCCAAAAGGACCTCTTTCTGCCTAGGGAAATCCTGAAAGAAGTAACACTTACTTGGGCCTTGGCAGCCACACTGCCACCGTTTTCATTCTCCCATGCGTCCTCCCTTCACTCCTTTCCAATCCACTCTGCCTCTCAATCCTGCTGGGGCACCACTAAGTCATATCACTTTGATGTTGAAAAACCTGCAACAGGTCTCAATTCACACAGCAAGGCCAAGAGACTCTGATGGGCAATGAATGAGGCCCTCTGAGCTAGTCTCGGCCTGCCGCTGCACACAGCTCATCCACATGTGGATACGTCAGCTCAGGCCCATTGGGATGCCCTGCAGGACATTCCAGACAGCCTGGAATGTCCTGCCTCCACCCTTGCTTGTGTCATCCTTGTTGCCAGCCCAGGACCACCAAATATGGTTGTTCAGTACACAAACTGCAGCTGTATGTGACAGCCCTATCTCCCCCAACAAAATGCTTCCTATCTTAGATTATATATTTAAAAAATATTTTCTGCAATTTCCATAATGGACATGTATTACATGTTTAAAATTTGAGGAAATGAATTACACATGAGAAAAGGAATCCATTCTACTCTTCACACTCTAACATGAAGGTATTTTCTCTAAGACATCTTCTCTGAGTTACTCAAGATGCAATCATTAGTCTTAAGACTTAGGACTGTTTTATGATTTTATATATACATCTTCCCATATGTACAGCTCTATTTTTATCTCTCTTGCTCTGATATTATTATAGCCAGGCATTGTATTAAGGGCTTCAACCATGTCATTTCATTTAAATTCCACCAAGAATCTAAAAGGTTGGTATTACCGAGGAAGCCGAGGTTGGGTAATTTGCTCAAAGCAAAGAACTAGCCTGTGGTTATTGCAGAGTTTAAATTTAAAACCAGTTTAGTCTGACTTCCAAATACTTAACTTTAAAATACTTAGCAAGTGACTAATTGCCTTTTGCAATACTAGCCTGTAAGAGTCAAACAGGGAGATAGTGTCTTTCTCATCTTTGTACCCACTCTGGTGACTGCCTCAGGGCCTCATCCACAAGCAGGAACTCAAAGAACTTTTTTGGGGGGACTAAATAAAAGATGTATTTCTTGAGAAAAAAGAGTGGGATGTTAGTTATTACGGTTCAACTCTTAAAACAGCTGTCCCACCACCAAGCCCTGTAGGTTCTAGCTTTAAAATGTATCTCAGTATTGTAAAAAGTCAAGAAAAGGTTTATGTATGGAAGGAAACTTTCTTTGTTGGTTATCAGTGGTAGGAGGGAAGAAGAGGGAGCACTGCAAAAAGAAAACAATGCATCGACCCATGTCACTTGTTTTGTGTATTTCCCTGTACATAAATTATATTTCAGTAAAATGTATTTTAAAAAAATAATAAAATGTATCTCAAAGCTGAGCTGTCTTCTCAGCGATACTGCCCTACCTTAGTCTCACTGTGTGCACTGAGTGTGGTACAACAGATCGCTGTTTTTGCCATGGTCTTGAAACGTCCACCAAATGACTAAGTGGGACTATGCAAAGGAGGTACCTGTGGCCCATCAAGGGGACTTGAAATATAAGATTTCATATTATTTGGTTCCACAATCAACACCAATGGAAGCAGCAGTCAAGACATAAGACGACGTATTACACTGGGAAAATCTGCTGCAAAAGACCTCTTTCAAGTGCTGAAGAACAAAGCTGTCTCCTTGAAGACTAAGGTGCACCTAACCCAAGCCATGGTATTCTCAATTGCTTCTTATGAATGTGAGAGCTGGACAATGAATAAGAAAGACCGAAGAGTAAGTGCTTTTGAGTTGCAGTGTTGGCAAATACTGAGAATACTATGGACCACCAGAACTAACAAATCTGTCTTGGAAGAAGTGCAGCTGGAACACTCCTTGGAGGCGAGAACAGCCAGACTTTGTCTCACCTACTTTGGTCATGCTGTAAGAAGGGATCACTCCCTGGAGAAGGATATCATGCTTGGTAAAGTAGAGGGTCAATGAAAAACGGGAAGGCCCTCAATGAGATAGATTGACACAGTGGCTATAACAATGGGCTCAGGTACAGCAAGGATCCTAAGGCTGGCACAGGACTGGGCAGTGTTTCATTCTGTTGCACATAGGGTCACTGTGAGTTGTAGCCAACTCGACAGCACCTAACAACAAAAACAACAGGCTTGGGCCTAGAAGCCCAGGAATGGCTTAGGGGTTCACAAAATCCCTGAGATCACAATCCCTCAACTTTAGTACTTGTGCATTTTAATGGGGAAGAGGTCACGGTATTATCATATTCACAAGGAAGAACATGAAACGAAGAAAATTTAGAACCAGTGAACCTGAAGTTTCAAAATCACATTCCTTTTTAAAAGCCACGTCTCCATATTGTGAGTGTGTATATAATTTCAGGGAGCTCTGGTAGCATAGTGCCTAAGGCACTTCACTGCTAACCAGAAGGCTGGCAGTTCAAACCCACCAGCCACTCATTGGAAGGAAGATGGGGCAATCTACTTCCGTAGTGATACTGCCTTGGAAACCCAAGGAGGGGTTGCTATGAGTTGGGTCTGACTCGACTGCACACAACAACAACAACATATAATTTTAACATCCACTGAATTCACAGTCACGTGATCTAGAAGGAAAGAAATCTTTAGCTAGACAGATTCATTTCAATAGAGATCTTTTAAAAAAAAAAAATTCCCTGATTAATTAAATAAAAATCAGAAAATGCACATCACTTTCAATAAAAACCAGAAAAGAAAACCAACAGCTGATAGGTATTAACCTACTCAATGAATTAGAAAGCCGGCTTCCTGACGGGGGAGGGTACTGTTTTGCCCTACCCAGGCTGTTGCAGGCCTGCCACTTAATCCTGCTCCTGCTTTACCTTTAACCCTCTAATAATTATTTCTAAATGGGTAAGCACTTACCATAATGTGATTGAAATGCCTGTGGTTTGACAACCTGATTACAGTCGTTACACACCACCAAGTAGAAATCATCATGGGCTGGACAGAGACCAAATATTGGCATGTCTGCAACAAAGAGACAGAGCATCATTCACTCATCTGGTTCTGATTTGATAGGAAGCCAGCCATTTGAGGGTAGCATTACTTTTCTAATGGAGCTGCCTTACTTTAAAGTATACCAGGACAAATGTTATTCCAGTTTAAATGTAATTGATGTGGCAGGCCATGACTATTAAGAGAAAAATCAAATCAGGCTTACAAAGCCACACATACAAAGAACTAAAAATTCCTCAAAAACTCATTAGCATGAGGAAAAACAGACAAATCCTATTAACATGCAAACAATGAATAGTTTCACATAATAAAGTAACTTTACATGAACGCTAAAGAAGGTTTCTGGGGAAAATCTGCAAACTTATAAAATGCTTAGTAATTCACAAAGCTGTACCATCTAATGGCTTCATTTGGTTAACTACACATTCTATTCCAGCCATCTGGCCCCTGAGTTCTATGAAACAGTTAAGAAAGGGAGCAGAAGTTTCACTGAAGAGTATAATTGCTGGTTTCATCAGCATGCCATACAAAGAAAATTATTTTTATGATTTTTTTTTCCTGGTCACAACAAGCTGTAGTTCTTCTGCTTATATATTGATAGCACTGGACAGACAAAACTGAACTTCAGCACAAATACAGTATTTCATACATTAAGTTCAATTGCCAAAACAGGGCAGTGTCAAGTTGGTGGTTTTTCAGTAACTCAACTTAATTAAAATGAAAAAGTGAAACTATCTGCATATACATGAAAACTGAAAGCAACGTGATATGTGGCAATATATGGCTAACTTCTAAGTGTTCAGATGCAGACTCTAAACATCTTAAGTATTTCAAAACTGGTCATTTTAAAACAAGTATTTTCTATTACACACCTATTTATAGCATCTGCAATGAATGGATAATTAGGACAATTAGACAAAGATTTTAGTAGAGCAAACACCAAATTTAAACAGGGAAAAAGATACAGAAAACTGATGAGCACCTGCTTTCCTCCCTGTAAGATTTAATTTCACACTTTCTTCATCTTGGGTGATCTTGGTAGTTTAAAGGCAGGAGAAAAAAACCACCCTAAGGAGATGCAAAAGTGATCACAATCTCTTAAGACATCAAATAAATTGTTGATCTAATACCTAAACATGGCCATAGCTCAGACTTTCTTAAATAATTACTACTGTATTGAACTTCATAGCTAGTTAGCTGTAAATCTGAACTATACTGAGGCTCAATTTGATTCTGGGATCCAACAGCAGCAGCTTCCATATATTACTACCTTATTTCATCTTCACAATCATCTAGGCAGATACCATTACACTTCACTTTAAAGAGGAGGAAACTGAGTCAGAGAGAAGTGAGGTAATTTGTCTAAGATCAATGGCTGGGATTAGAGTCTGAATCATAAGGGTTTTATGAGTTTGGTACCTCCTGATTGGAATGATTCATAGAAATTCCTTCCAGATTTCAACTTCAGTAACTTGGAAAGTCAGGGTTGAACACCTTCAACTGCATAAACTGATTAGATAATATAAGAAGCTTCTAATATCCTGCTGACTTCTGTGTCTTAAAGCTTAATTATTTAATAAAAAATAAAAGCAAAAAAAATGTGCCATCTTCCTTGAAAGCATGCCCACATTGAGTTAAATATAGTGTATGTGGGAGAAGGGGAAAGGTTATATCCATGCAATGCACAGTACATAATAAGTCATCTTCCATGGCTACAGTTTCTTGACACGTCATTTCCATTCTTAAAAATCAAAAGCAACGTAGATCATCTTAAGTTTCATATAACCATGTGCTAAATGCCCCCAATACTATTAATAAAGTCCTAATATGAATTATATAAATTGTATATAACATTCATAATTTAGAGCCAAAAAGTAAGAAATGTCTATAAATAGCAAGTCAATGGTTTTGTTAATGAAATCAAACCAATCATTTATTAAATAAGTGGTTTCAGTTTAGTTTTGTTGTTGTTGTTTGCTATCGAGTCGGCCCGACTCAGTTTAGTTTTAGGTCTCTATATTTTGTTGGTTTTCCACAGTACTGAATGTCAAGCATGTTGGCAGTTGGGGGGAGGGAGCTATACTGATTTTTTCAAGTAATAAGGATTCAATTTGCCACAAGGACATTTACGTACAAAGTTGCTCTTACCCTGCATTCTCTATTCCTTTTGTAAGGCTTGAGAACTACTAGGAACTCTGGTAGCATAGTGCCTAAGGCACGTGACTGCTAACTGGAAGGCTAGAGGTTCAAACCTACAAGCCACTCCTCAGAAGGAAGTCTGGACGATCTACTGTAGTGATACTGCCTCAGAAACCCTATTCAACTCAACGGCAGTGAGTTGTTGTTTTGTTTTTTTTTTTTTAAGTAAAATTAAGAGGGTAGAGGGTAATTCTATAAGGGACCAGGAATCTATACTGGTGTAAAAGCTTACATTTTTTCAGTAACTCATGACATTTGCGATTGATGATGACAGTAATAAATAATAATAATAAAACAAATAGTTGACATTTACTGAGAGTACTTAGTGCCAGGCCCTGTACTAAGTACTTTTTATGACTTGTCCCATTTATTTCTAATAATAACCCTACCATATAATTCTCATTTTACTGATGTGGAAACTAACTTGTCTAGTTATCACCCAGCAAGAAAGTAGTACAACTAGAATTCAAATCAGGTTTCCATAACCTCTGAGCTTAATCTTTAGTCTCTCATTAGCACATCTCAATAAAAACCATGCATGTACACACACACACAATCCCTGTAGAAAGAAACATGGCACACTTAAATCCAGTTCATGCCAACTTTTGAAATATTAGGAAAATCTAAAGCCAAGTTTTAATTTTCGATCTGTAAACTTTTTATTTTAGATATCCATATTTGGAAGTAAGCTGGAGGATACAAAATAATTTAAGTAAAATGTCTTCTTCAGGGGAAAAAAAAAAGTTATATATTCTTTTTCTACTTTGGGACATTCCAGAGGCCTTAGTTAGGGACAAGAACAGAGTGTGGACTGTTGTGGCAACAGAAAAAAAATGAAACAATTTGTGAGAGATGGTATATTATGTTTCTAAGTATTTTTAAAGTACAAATTCACCACCAGCCCATCTATAAAGTAACATGCAACTTGCACAAATGCAGGAAAAAGCTTGATTTACAACACAAAATAAAACATCAAATTACCAAAAATGAGTTCCTACTACATTAATAATGTTTACAAAATACACTTAGTAACTTAAACCATTATACTGAAAATGATGAAAAGTTTAAAAATTATACTTGGACTCAAAAATTCTCAACTAATTTCAAAGAATGGATTTTATTCTTGTATAAGCCCCAAATCTTTCTCAGGATTTGGTCCCCCTATCTTCTAATTAGTGAGTGGCCAGCACCCACATATAGGCCATCATGTACTTTGGCTACCCTAGGCTAGAATACCAGGAAGGACTGAGTTAAGCACATGGACACGTAAGCACACGCATGCAGAAACTAAGACCCTCCTCAGAAACCAGACCTTGAATGGTAGCTGATGTACTTAATTACTTTGGTGTTATTATCCTTATGTTGAAGACTGCACAACAAAAACAACAGAACTTGTGTGTCATAACAAAGCCTTTAACCTTTGCAGTACCCTGGGTGTTTCCCTTCTCCCACACATCCCAAACTTCTGCATGCCACTGACTTCCACATTTCTTTCTCCAGCTCAGACAGACAGCTCCCGAGCTTAGTCTAGATTCACATATCCAACTGCCTATTAGATATCACCATCTGGACATCTTACATGCATCTCAGACTAAACAAAAAGTGTCCAAAAGAACTTTGCTTTCCATGCTGCCCTGATCCCCCCAACCTTCCCTCTTTTGGATAATGACACAACCCATCCTCCCCATACCTAATCACTCAAATTAAAAATTCAGGGGTGATCTCTGACATCTACCTCATCACATTCAGCCAACCAGCAGGTCTGGCCCACAACTCCATCATTGCCATGGCCTCCACTGTAGGGCTCGTCACCAGCATCTTTCTATTGGCTTTCAGAAGCTGTCTCTAGTTAATCCTACAATCCTTTCTACTCAATTCCCAGAGAGATTCTTTAAAACTCTCCACCAGATCATGCCATTCCTCTTCTTAAAATTCTTCACTGTCTTCCTACTCCTCTGGAAATACAATCCCAGCTTTATCAGCAGCCCCGATACTCTGCCAGTTATGTTGTCCCCTTTTATCCTCTGTTTCCTGGTTCTCTACTCTTCTCTCCTTGGCTCACGCTACTCCAGGCCCACTGACCTCGTTTCTCTCCTCAGACCCAGAAGCCTCTTTCCCAGCCAGGTTCTGCCCCTGTTCTTTACAAGATGCCTGGCACATTCTCACACTTCAGGTCTCTGTTCAGCTGTCATCTCCTCAAAGATGTGCTCCCTCCCCCTTCTCAATTAGTCACTCTCTATCACTGATGTTTTAAACAGAGTGGCTAGGAGTGTGGGTCAGCCACTCTCCCTGAATCCTAGCTCCTTCCTTCAAAAGCTATATGACCTTGGGCAAGTTCTATAATCTCTTTGAATTTCAGTTTTCTCATTTTGTCAAATCGTGATGATCATACTACCTACTTCACAGGATTATGAGCAAGATTAAGAAAATTAATATACGCAAAGCCTTAAAAGGATGTTTGACCCCAGGAAGGGCTTGTTTAATTTCTTCCCCACAGCCTAAGAGATAGGAATCATGCGTCCCCATTGTACTAGTTAAAAATCCAAGGCACACAGACACTGAAATCTTATAAGGTAGTAAGTGGCAGAGCCAAGATTTGAACCTAAATCTCTGGGCTCTGGAGTTAAGGTACTTTCCAGAATTCTCCCACAAATACTCCTAGAACTGGGCTGTTATTTGCAACACCCATTCCTTGATTAGGGCCTGGTGGCATCTACTTACCTGAACAAGTCTGCTAACAGGGCCAGAGTTTCTCCTTGCTCCAGCCTCCTCCACCCTCTGCACCCCCACCCTCACCCTCCCACACCCCTGTT